AATACATGAGTAAAAGAGGGCTATTACTGAAAATATAGACAATGTACAGTGACTATAAACTTCAACCATGCATTTGTCAAGAATTCCCTTAGAAGAGCTTTCTAATGGACAATCTGATATTTTAAAATTCTAATGTTTTTTGCCAAATTTCAGTGGTATTAGTGGGCAAGAAGCCCAAGGTCCTTCATTTTTTATTATGTTGCCTCAAAATTTATGTCAAATTAAAATCACACATATACACAGAATATGTTAGAAATCTAGGTACCACCCATTAGATTTGAAAAGTACAACAAAAAGGAATACTTTCTGAAACTAGTTTGTTCATTCCTTTACCATAATGGACAGTTCCTAAGACTCATTGAAGAAGTACAGGAAAGTACAGGTATGACAAGGGCTGATAAAAAATATGTATTTATTTATGGATTTTCAGAAGTCAAAGGTGTATGAGGTATAATAAAAAATTATGGTGAATGTTTAAATTTTAAAAATCATTGCAGTAAGTCACATTGCCATTAAGTCCCCTCCCAATTCCTCTCCTTTTCTCTGAACACACCCCATCATTCTTGCCACTTCCTGAAGCAGTTTTGGAAGTCGTCTTTCTTGAGTGTCTTCAGTTATGCTGTCATGGCTGCCTCAGTGTCCTGAATCAGTTCAAAGCATTTACCTTTCACGGTCATTTTCACTTCGGAGAAGAGCCAGAAGTCACACAGTGCAGCATCTGGTGAATAAGATGGATGAGGATACACTGTATTTTTACAAGCCTGCCTTTGCTTGGGTGTCACTTGGCAGCAGTATTCACCATATTTTGATCATACCTCATAAAGGTACTCACAAAAAAGTACAGATCTGCTTCAGAGAGTGACAAGAATGATAAATGTGTTTGAAATGGGGGATAGTATTTTGAGGGGGGTTAATAGCTATATGTCTTCTACTGTAATAAATTTATATGTTTTAATTGTTTTTCCCCATTCCTGACTTTAATATAAAGATAACAGCTTTTTCTTCTCTAATATTCCTATTAATATAGTTCCTACTATCATCTTAGTTCCCTATGAGTTTTCTTTGACTTCTTTCACTACTGTTCTTCCTGTATCCTTTCTTATGTTAATTATTAAATATCCAGTTTTTCCTTTACTATCTCTTATATTTCTTTTGTCTGTTTTTAATATTTTTAGGACTTTGTCATACCTAAGACTTCACTTTTTACCTAGTTTAATACTCAAATTAGCTTTATACAGTAGCTAAAATAGTTCCACAGTGCCTGTATTAGTCAGCTTTCCCTCTGCTGGACATAAGACTCAATACTCACATATTAAAAGTAGAGAAATTTAATTTGGCTTATGGTTTCAGGGGTTCTGTCCATGGTCAGCTGACTCTAAGGCAGAAACATCATGGCAAATGGGCATAGCAGAGCAAAGATGCTTTGTTCATGGTAGCCAAGAAGCAGATCGGGGGAACCGTGCCAGAGAGGAAAGGGAAGAGAACCACATAGAGACCTCAAGGTTCTGCCTTCCTGACCCACTGAGACACATGCAGAAGTTTGGTTTACTAACCCCCTGGGCCAATCAGGTTGACAAAATTAAGGTTAACCAATATTTCCTACCCCTTGTCACTTGACATCCAAACACAGCTCCTTAAACTTTTGGAGCTGATATCACAGTTGATATGATAGATACAAACTCTTCTTACATATTGTTAAGGGGTAACATCTGACCCATGATCTCCACAGAGTTAAACTAATACTTAATGGCCAAGTAAAGACAATAGTACGTTCTTAAATCTACCTAACATGATACAACTGTCCTGTGTATAACTAAAAATGTAGTAATCCCTTCCCAAACTCTTAACAGTCCTAGCATTGCTGAAAAAAGCCCAAGTCAATGTCTTCTGAAACTCAGGCAAACTCAGCTGTGAACTCCTATAAAAATCAAAAAACAAGTTATATAATCCCAAGATACAGTGGCACAGGGCAATCATTCCCATTTCAAAAAAGAGGAAAAGGGGGACAGAAAAAATAGGATCAAACAAGACCAAAACTGGGGAGAGCAAACATTAGGTCCTGTAGATCTGCATCTGGCATCCAGGGCACATGGTGATGAAATGAGAGTTCCAGAGGCCTAGAGTCCACTTCAGGGCTGCAGCTTTCCCCTGCACATGTCCCAGGTTCCTGGGATCTCCATTATACATTTGACTTGACTCCCATAGCCATACACACTGCACTTCAGGGGCTCCTTGCCTGACCTCCCGGGCCTTCCTTTGAAATCTAGGTGGAAACCTCCTTTGACCTCACAATTTTTATATTCTGCATGCCAATAAAATCAGCCTCATGTGGTAATGTCAACATCTGCAGCCAGCACAGGCAGTACCTGGGTCTCCTTGGCCTCTGGCTGCAGCAACCCCTGAGTGCCTGGATGGCTGAGCACTGTGAAATGAATCCTCGGAACCAATTCCTGGGGACTCTTTTCTCAAATGAAAGGTTTACACTTTTGCATCCTTCGGGGTGGGATCTTGCTGATTTTTGAGATGCCCTCAATGCAGTCTCCTCCTTGAACCCTTTACAGGAAGAAAATACTTGGTTTCTTTTAATGTTGCTAGTCTCTTCAGCAGCCACACTCTTTGGACCCAACCCAACTTTACACGATTCCTTTGGGGCCCAAATTAAGGTTTTCAAATTTTTCTACTCTGCTTTTAAACCCACAGTTTTTACTATAAATCTGGCTAAAAGCAACTAAGCAGTGCCCATGCCACACCCTAAATATAGAGCTGCTTGAAATTTTAGCCCGTACCCTTAATCTCAATCTCCTGAAAATTCCCAGGATGTGGACAAAACTTAGACTTTCTGCCTAAGTGCATCACACATGGCCTCTAGTTCAACTGCCAGTGGAGTCCTTTTTCCTTGGCCTTTACTGTTTGCATTCCTAGCAGCATTCTCATCTTCTTAGCTCTGACCAGAGTCATGCACCTCAGACTCAAGGTTTCTCTAGCCCACATCTCCAGACCTTTCCAAATTCCTCCTGCAAACAAGTCCAAAGGCTTCTTCTCAGCCATACAGTCACAGCTACAACCCAACTTCTCTAGTAGGAATTTTCTGTGTTAGTAAACTTTTACCATTGCTTAACGCAATACCCAATGCCCACAGCTTAAAGAAAGCAAGGTTTAATTTGGCCCATGATTTCCAAGGACTTAATCCAGGATCAGCTGGCTTTCAGGTAGCAACCTCATGGCCTACAGGCATGGCAGAGCAAAGATGTTTAGTTCAAGGTGGGCAGGAAGCAGAACGGGAATAGTGCCAACCAGAGAAGAAGGGGTGAGGGACCAGGTACTACAGACCTCAAGGTCACATCTCCATGCCCCACCCAGACACAGCCAAGGGTGTGCTTCACTAACCCTTTGGGCAGATCCCAAGTCAATCAAGTCGACACAGTTAAGATTAACCATCGCAGTTCCTATATCAAGAAGTCTGAAGACTGTGTAGGGCCAGGGATTTTATAATTAGGAAAAGCTTGCTTCATTAATTCTAATCAAGATTTTACTGGCAAGAAAATTCTGTTGTTTATACTACTGAGTGAAATGAAAGGGCAGAAGAATATAGTATATTACTTTTTGTGTCAGAAAGGGGAAGGATGTTAAAATACAGGTTCTATTTGCTTATATTTGCAAACTGGAAATGTAGAATTAATAAATGCCTACTAGAGCAGGTAGAATTGGGGTAGAAAAGATTGGTGAGAGCTGAGATTTCTGAATGAATACCTTTCTGTGTTGTTTTTATTTCTCAACTATCTGAATATTTTATCTATTTCAAACTCTGCCCTATGTGTCACTGCAAGGGTGGAATTAAGAGCACTCTGATTTCCTGTTGTCCATGTATGAAATCCACTCATCATTCTACTATTTAGATGTCTATACTCCTCTGCGCCTTAGTATAATTTGTTTGACTGAAATGAACTATATCTTTGTCCCCAAATCATTTTCAAAATTCATCACTTCCTCTATAATTATGTTATTATGTCATCTTAGCATAAAATATTTATGTTCTATATTTTATGTTATTGTTAAGTATCCAGATTTATGTCATGAATGGTTCCTATTCCTCTTTTAATTGTCAATACTTTCAAGTTAGAAAGAAGTGAATTTTCTCTTCTGTAGTATCAAATACAGTTTAATAGATATTTGATACTTTTATTTACTCTAGAGCAGTGATAGCCAGTCTTGTAGAGCTTTCAATGATAACAAATAACCCACTGCACCATGTGTGCCATAGGTTCATCTCCATTACTCTAGAGGATCCTAATATGTTACTTCATTTGGATAATTTTAATCAACAGGTTTTAAATTAGAAAAGATATCCCTTTTTTTAAAAGCAAAGGCAAAGTTTATTTGAAAAAGTAAAAATGAAGAGAGAAACTGGCTCTGCAGAGCGAGCTCAGGCCAAATAAAAGAGGAAAAAATCAAGATAAAAATATACCCGGGAGGAAGCAAGGCAGGCTGTCATGAGGAAATCCATGATAGCCAGAAAAGATATCATTTGGAAAAATTTTGCTACTTTTCCACTATATGAAATTTCAGTGCATTAAAAAGGAGAATTAGAAAAGTGTTATTTTTTTAAAAATTGAAAATAAATTAGGGTGACTTCTGTCAGGTAAGGTAAAAAAATGTGGTTTTGCACACTCAAAGAAATAAACATAACATGATCACTTGACATTACTTTGCATGGACTACAATACGATTTGTGTTCTAGTTACTAATGAATAAAATAATTCTGAACTGTGTGGTATTTTATATGTATATATGACATACAGAGTTCATTCTGTTGTGAGAAACAATAATATTGCTTTGGTTGTTTTTTTAGATTAAGTATGATCAAAAGTTAGAAACTTTAAATTCTACTAGGAAGTAAACATTTGTTTTTAAAATTGATCATAGAAAATAAAAATTTGTAAGCAAAGAGACTCAGTATATTTTTATTAATGTATTCTCATCTAATGTTTATTTTGAGACAGGCAAGGAAACTGGATGTATATTTTGAATATGAAGAAAAGATAATGAGCAAAACTACTCTGGATAAGTCTCTTCTAGATATAATATCAGATCCTGATGGTATGTACTATAAATGTGAGGTTAACATAGATGATTCCAGCATTTTCAATGTGAATATAATTTAAAGAGGAATACAGTTTTTCTGGCAGTCAGTGCTAATACCAAGGTAATAAAATCAGCTCTGTTCTGTTGAAAATTTTTCAACATAGCAATTCCTCAAGTGAAAAATGATTTTATTAAACTTTTTCTCTGACAGTATTTAAAGCACTTTTTATATTCATTTGTTTAACATGATATATCTAAAGTCCAGTGCCTTTCCTTTTCAAGAATTTTAGAAGAAATAACATTCAAAACAAGTGTCTCTAATAATGTTTCCTAAGTACTTTGGTTTACCCCAGAGAGTTTCCCAAAAGTAAGTACCTAAAACCAAGTTATATTTTACATATCTAAGAAATTCACTTTTAAGAAACCCTATAACCAATCCCTTTGTATTTAAATATATGTTAAATTTTCTTAAAGCAAAATATATCTGTAATTAACAAATGTAATTATAGCTTTTAATTATAATCATGGGATCTATATAGTGGTTTAGTCTCTAAAATTCTTAATTTTAGAGATGTTTTAGTCGTTTCAAAATAGTTTTGAATGCAAATCTGTTTTCCAACATGAATGAAAGGCCAAGGATCCATTTTGCTTGTAAGCTATTCATGTTAGAGCAGGATAACTAAAGCCAAAACTTTCTGCCTGGACCACAAAAAAAGCCAAGGAAATGGGAAAATACCAGGGAGCTTGTGGAGAGGAAGGAGCTCAAAAAGTGCTCCTGTAAAGTTGTTTATGAATTCCTTGGCTGATCCGTGAACTGCATGTGCATAAATATGATCCCAAGAACATTCCAGAGACTGAGGTGAAGGTCTAGACCACTTCCCAGTTCCCAGTTTGTCGACTAGCCAGTGGGTTAGATCCCAATAGCACTACAAAAGGATTTGAAAATAGAAGAATTGATGGAAGCACAACTTGAAAAAGAATGGTAGGAACCAGTCAGGATAATGCAAAAATATCAGCATTCTCCTAGGATTTGTGCAAAACTCTGAGTTTCAGAACCTCATATTCAAAATGTTGCAGGTGTAATATTAATGAACATGACAACTTGGGAGACCTTGTTGTTGTTCTTTATTTTACCATTCTTTGTCATACTTAGGGAGTATGGGTAAATTGAAGAGTGTCTGGATTCCCAGTCATCATGTTTTGAAAAACCCACTAGTTTTATTCTGTAATATATATAATAGTTCTGAGTCCTTATATCAGAACTTTGGAGTGAGAGTGAGTAGCTTTATTTGTTTAGACCAGTGCTTTATTACTTCCAAAGTGCATCCTATAGAAGGAATAAAGAATAAATGAGTTTCTCTGGAAAGTTAAGGCTTTGTATTGCAGAAATAATAGCTCAAAGCCCTCACTACAAGAAATTTCTTTGAAATCTTTCATTTTATCTTAAAGTATGAGGCAAATATATTTTACTGTATAATATGTTTTTATGTAAAAGTATGGTTTTCCCAAACCATATAGCAATATAAGACACTTCAGAAAGAGAACATCTGTGTTTAGGAGCTCCAGGTAGGGGACTATCACTTTAGGCTTATCTAGATGATTTTATTTAGCCAGCAGATGTCATCACCCTATACCTAGAGTGACCATACAGCTGGTTCCCCAGACAGTCCTATTTTTATTACCAGTTGTCCTTATGCAGTTGTGACCAACAGCTGCTTGCCATCTCAGAAGTGTCCTGTTTTAGAATTATCATTGCCCTGTGAAATCCTTTCTGTTCTTTGGAGTTTATATCTAAAAGCTAAATCTTAACATTCTAGATAGTTTGGAATATAGAATAGTGGTGTTTCTGTAATCACAGCCCTCTACTCCCAAATCTAATCTTTTTCCATATTTGTATTTTACATTATTGTAATTATAGTACTTAATACCTGTTGAATCAAGAACTATTATTTTGTTTTTTCACATTTATATATGCCTTGAATTTTAATAAACTTGTAAATGTTCACTATAATACATAATAATCACAATTAATGAAAGTTTTTTTTTAAACTTTCTCCTATGTAGCAGGAACTCCGGAAGATAAAATGAGGCTGTTTCTTATCTATTACATAAGCACACAGCAAGCACCTTCTGAGGTAAGAGCTCTATAGAGTTATTAGAAGAAAAGGGAAATGTCTGTTTGCAGAATTACTACAGGTAGAATTTCAGAAGTTGAAGTAAAAAGTCACTAGGGCTAAATATCTACTTCATTCCTATCTTTAAAAGAAAAACAATTTGTTAAGGCTAATTCTATTTACTACTGAGTTTTATAGCAATACTTATTTTCACCAGGGGAAACTGTCCACTCAGGAAATGTCTGACCACTTTTAACTTTTTGGAATCTCAGTTGGAATTCAAGTGGCCAAATTTTTATTTCTGGAAAATAACTATTCTAAACCAAGTTAATCAGATTTGCTAGGGCTTTTTGAAAAGTTGGTCTTACCAATTTAGCAATGTTTGAAAAGTAATGTTCACTATAGAAGATATCCTGTCTCAGCTGTTCTATAAAGGAAAGTGATGATTTTGGTATCAGATTGGGTTATAAACCATTGACTCTTATTTTAACTCAGTATAATTTAATAGCTGATCATCTAGAATGACTTGGACGTTTAAGTTACTTTTCTTTGCTGGTAGCAATTATTTTTTAAAAATCTGGTAAATTGTAAAGTTTCTGTTGGTCAAAAATCTTGGCCATGTTAAAATAGCAAACTGAACGTTAAGTATCTGCTTTAGGGAATTCTGCTTTACTGGAGGAATATATCCATTTCTTGACTTAATAAGAACATGTGGTTTTTATTTTTTGAAATATTTCTCTCATCAATGAGGCTTTACTTATGTCTAGGGGAATTCTCATACCCTATGTATAATATTTTTTTAAGAATATATGATTTTAAAACTTAAGTTAATTTTCCCTTAATGTGACTACATTATTTTCATTTTTTTTTTAAATTCTTTTATCGGTACATTGTAGGTATACAACACAATTACATTTCTCATTGGGAATTGGACCTTTACATAATACATCTTGGTTCTTATTTTTTCCCCATTCCTAGCCCTCCCTTCACCCCCTCCACCCTTCCCTATTTACAAAGACTTTATTTCCATTTTTTCCATTTCTCATCATTTGATTTTCATTTATTTTTTGATAATGATTATGTCTGTTCATAAACTTCAGTAAAGACTAAGAAGTGTGAAGCAGATTATGACTACTAATAACAGATTAATAGCCCTAAAAACTCAAAATAGTGAAAATCGCTGGTGGTGAGCTTAAAAGTTTCTCCCTTATTACATTTGCACAGTGGAGTCACTGGGAGACTAGGCTTCTTAAACTTACACAAATTCACCTAGATTTACTCATCAGGAAATTTTAAAAGTAAGGTAAAGAAAATTTAAAACGTGTAGGACATTTGATCCCAACATTACAAATAAAAACCCACACAAGTGTGGAACAACTGTTTATTCAGTTAATGAATCTGGACCCCTAGACTCAGAATATGAGAAGGGAAATCTAAATCTGCAGTTTTTTCAGTTCATGTCATTCTCCTCATAATACCGGTTTTGAAATATTCTTGCTTAAGCCAAATCAGTTGGTGTTTGTCCCAGAGAAAGACAGTCTGTTTTACCAGTAGCGAAAATACTGAATGTCAAACTTAAAAGTATAACAGAGTACTACTGTACTGTACTTAAAAGTATTATACTTTTAAGGTGATTTAGAAGCCTATTGAAAAATAATTTTTAATGTATGTGATTTTTGTCTCAGATCCTTCCTTGGGTAGTCATTTAAGATGCAGCTCCATTCAACTTGGGTGCCTAAAATTTAAATGCATCCCTTTAGTATAATTTTTTGATTAAGCAAATGACAACTGTCTTTCATAAAAGTTTAATTTTTTGTCATTTAGTTATTTTCTTATTTCAGGCTGATTTGGAGCAATATAAAAAAGCTTTAACAGATGCAGGATGCAACCTTAACCCTTTACAATATATCAAACAATGGAAGTAAGTTTCATTTTCTTCTTTAATTCCGGTTATTTAAGATAAGGACACAGGGCCGGGGATTTAGCTCAGTGGTGCTGCCTCCTGCCTCACAAGCAAAAGGTCCTGAGTTTGATCCCATACCAAAAAATAAAAATAAAAAAAGATAAAGACACAATTGAGGTTTTGTTCCACCCAAAATGGAATGCTAATAAGGCAGTTGAACAATGGAAGGGTGGATTTTCATATACAGTGGCATAGCATTTCCTTATCTGGCCCACTATATGCACGGTGTAAAATTACATAAAACTATCTTTCTTAGACAAGTTTTACATTTTCTCCACTGATAACAGGGAAAACAGTCAAATACTGAAATGTTTTGGACTTCTAAAAGGCCTTAAAAAGAAATTTTAATTTCCTTATTAACTGGATAAATGTAGATTAATAGAATGCAAAGATTTACAAAATATTGTCCCAAGGAAACAGGAAAATTAATTGGTACATTTTTTTTTTTTTGGTACCGGGGATCGAACTCAGGTCCCTGCACTTGCGCAGCAGGTGGCGAAACCACTGAGCTAAATCCCCAGCCTATTCTTTTTTTTTTTAATTTGTATTTTGAGACGGTTTTTTTGTTTGTTTGTTTGTTTGTTTTGGTACCGGGGATCGAACTTGGGACCTTGCGCCTGTGAGGCAGGTGGCGGCACCACTGAGCTAAATCCCCGGCAATTGGTACATTCATACTCTGCTATTAGGAATATAAATTGTCACAGTTTTCTAGATGGTATAAAAGTTTTTCAAAATAGTTTTGACGCAAAAAAATGTAGAGTAGCCAAAGCAATCCTGAAGAAAAAGAACATGCTGTACACATCACAATACCTGATTTCAAAATACATGCAAAGCCATAGTAACAAAAACAGCATGATATTGGCACAAAAATAGATAGGAATGGAATAAAATAAAGGACACAAAAACAAGCCTACACACACAACTACAGCCATCTGACTGAACAAAGAGGCCAAAAACACATGCAGCCTCTTTTAACAAGTGATACTGGGAAAACTGGTTATCCATATAAAAAGGATTAAACTAGATCCCTATCTTTCACCCAGTATTAAAATCAATTCAGAACAAATCAAGAGTCCTAAATATAAGACCTGAAACTTAAAAACTGCTAGAAGAAAAACATAAAGGAGTGAAGTCACCAGCACAGGCAAAGATCTCCTGAACAGGACTCTAATAACTTACGAACTAATAGTAAGACTCAAGAAATGGGATTTCATCAAAGCTTCTGCACAGCAAAGGAAACTATCAACAGACAGAAGGGACAGATAGCAGAAGGAGAAAATCTTCCAGCTATTCTTCCAAAAGAGGATTAATACCAACAATGTGTAAAGAAAAGAACTCAAAAGGCTTGACACCAAAAAAAAAAAAGATAAAACCCAATTAAAAAGTGGGAAAATGAAATGAAGAACAGATACTTCTCAAAAAAAGAAATACAAATGGCCAATAAGTGAGAAAATATTCAGTATCTTTGGCCATTAGAGAAATAGAAATTAAAACTGCATTGAGATTCTATCTTATCAATGGCTGTAATCAAGAATACAAAAAACAGTAAATGCTAATGGGAATGTGGAGAAACAGGGATCTTTCTACACTTCTTGGTGGGAATATAAACTAGTATATGTACTATTGAAATCAATATGGAGCCTCCTCAACTGGAGAAAACAGTTTGATCTCAGAATATTTCAGAAAGAATTAAAGATAGCATACTATAGTGAAATGTCTATTCCCATGTTTATTGCACTACATTTCAAAATAGCTAAACTATGGGAACAGCCTGGGTGCCCATAATAGGTAAATAGATAAGAAAAAGTGGTATATGTACACAAATTGAAATATTATTTAGCCATTACAAAGAAGTAAGAGATAATGTCATTTGCAGGAAAATGGATGGAACAAAAGGCCATCACGTTAAGCAAAATAAGCCAGACTTCATATGTGGAATCTTTACAAAAACAGAGAGATGACAAGAAGGGAGACTATTAGAGATGAATAAAGGATCAGGGGAAGAAGGGACAGAAGCAGGAGTGGGGAGAAAGAAGCCAAAAATAGTCAACATGCATGTACCAATATGCCAAAATGAAGACCATTATTGTATACAACTAATGTGCACTAATAATTTTTTTTTAAATAGCTTTGACCTAATACTTCTATCCTTAAGGATTTATCCCAAAGTAATCGTTGGAGTTGTAAAATCTTAGAAGCAATTGTAATGATGAAGTTTTGAAAACCCACCTTAATGTCTAGCAATAAGATTAATAAATAAATTGTAGCATTTCCATAAAACAGAATATAATTGAGTCATTAACAATTATGTCATAGAATGACATTGGGAAATGTTCGTGCTATTTGGTAAGGAGAAAAAACTGTTTACAACATTGATAAACACTGTTGGCCCTCCATATCCTTGAGTTCCAAATCCACAGATTGAAAATATTCAAGAAAACAATCCCTGAAAATGTACATACTTTTTTCATTGTTGTTGTTCCCAGACAATACAGTATAACACTTATTTATATAGCATTTACCATGGATTGCCTATTATAAGTCATTTAGAGATTAAAGTACTAAAGTATATGGGAGGATGTGTGTGGGTTCTAGGCAGATACCAAGACATTTTATACAGGGACTTGAGCAGCCACAGGTTTTTGTATTCTTTAGGGTGTAGAACCAATTCTGTATGAATGCTGAAGCCTGACTGTATTTTCTGATAGTGAGCAAGATAAGCAAGGAAAACATGCAGAACAATGTGGAAACTAAATTTAATCATTATGGGTTTGTTCTCTTAAGTCAGCAGGTCTCTACCTCACTTCTTGTCCTTAATGATCAGACAGAAAAAAAAATTGTGAAGTTTGGGATGCATTTGTATTCTTTAAAGATTCTCAGTGTTTCAGTACTAATTGTACTGTATATTATTTGAAAAATTATCTTTTCAGAAAATACCTGCATAGTAGAAATTAGAGTCGATATTTTAATACCATGATACTGAGAGGTGACACTAATAGACTCCTTTTAATAATTTTATTATTTCATAGGGCTTTTGCCAAGATGGCCTCAGCTCCTGCCAGCTATGGCAACACCACCGCTAAACCAATGGGGTAAGTGTTTTTAATAATGCCAATCAAATCATTGTACTCCAAACTCTAGATTTTCATGCTTTTTAAAAACCTAGTGTCTGACACTTGGAATACAGAGTGCTTTCATGCTGTACAGAAAAAATATCAATGTGCCTTTCCTTAGATGACTTAAAATCTCTTTAAAATATAAGGTAATATCTTACATGGTATGAGATATTGGCTTCATATGTTTTGTTTTTAACATGTTACATTTTTCATTTTCCAAACATACTGAATGGATAAAACTATTTCTATAATAATGTTGGTAACTAATGTGGACTTGAGGCTAAGCTCTCGGACCTAGCTACAGGACAGATCCAGGCATAGTGCCAGATGGTAGCTAGTCTGTCCCCAGGGTTGAGGTTGACTTTTTATTCCAGAGAATCCTTAAAGTTTGTGTGATTTTCAAAGACTGAACAGGTAATCCTGATTTCTCTTTTTGGTACTCTGCAAGTTTCAAATTTCTAACTTATTTTTTAGAGCTAGAATGAATTATGAAGCCTAGAGGAAGACAGATTTATCCTGGCCCCACATTGAACTACTGGTTTAATGAAACAGTTTCTAAAAACAAAAGTCCTGAAAACCTTTGTAAAGTGCTGGACAGAATGAGTGCAGCTGACCTCACCACAGGTGGTGCTATGCAGGATCACACACCCTTCAGAGCTGCTGTTGCAGGGAATGGCCCCAGAGTTACACTTTCCAAAGGAGGTTACTTTCTCTTATTTCTGTTAATGAAGGATTTTCATCCTGTCCCTCTCCATTTCAGGGGGGAAGTAAGGACAAGATAGGGAAAAGGAAAATATTTTTGGAAAATAATTCCCATATATTTAATAGTATAGATTTTCCAGTTTCATGTTTTAAAATTTTATGAAATATTTAAATAAAGCCTATTAGATTTTTGTGTAATTTTTTAGTTGGGAATTGTAATAGAAACTTATGAGAAAATCTTGGATAATTTGAAGGCTATTCCAAGCTTTCTAATATCAGTGAAGAATTACTGTTCTTTCTGTGCCACAGAGCATCCTCTGACTCCATGTGAGAGCCTTTTCAACTATAAAGATAAACCTAGTACGGCAAGTCCTCTTTTAGAGTTCTTTTTGTAGCTAAAATTTCAGATTAAAAAATTCTTAAGAATTGAGGCAAAATTAAGTATATCATGCTTCATTTTTTATATTATAGATTTTATTTATAGAGAGGGAAGATAGTATACAATGCAGGATTAGATCCAGTTGCTATAATATAGAGAACCCAGCAACATTTGACCTGCTCATAACATTAACCATGCATTTCCATGTGTTTGAACTCCTACAGCAAGGTATTGATTATGGCTTTTAATTTCATTATTTTTGCATTAAGGCGATCAGAAAGGCAAGGAATTCTCAAATTATAATTTGCTTAAAAATTATACTTAAACCTACACAAAACTTTATTTTGAAGGCAGTTTTGTGTTTTTATATTTTTAAATATTGATCAGAGTATTACTATTTTATTGTTAAATAAAATTGCAGTAATGATACCCCAAGAAGCAGAAATTCTCAAGACTCTTCTGTTCAGTGAAAACAAAGGTGGTAGGTACAGTAATTATTGGCACGAGGTGAATAATTGGACAAGTAACAAATGGAAGAAGCAATTTGTACTTAGTGTGGTCGTCTTTTTTTGCCTTTCCTAGTCTCTTATCACGAGTCATGAATACAGGATCACAGTTTGTGATGGAAGGAGTGAAGAACCTTGTGTTGAAACAACAAGTAAGTACACTAATTAGAAAACACACTAGTAACTTTTACACATAAATGCTGACAGGCTGACTGCAGAGTTAAAGCAGTTTCTAGGCTTAATAAATATTAGAAATAAAGCAAAATGAAATCTTTCATTGATAGATGTAAGAATATGAGTATTTTTACATGAGTAGAGTTCCATGATTTTATGCTTTTTTAAAAAAAGATTTGTTCTGTTGGACTTTACTATCATATTTGTGAAAGTATGTTAATTGAGAAAGTGAATTTAACCTATTTAGAATAATGAACTACTGTATAATGAATATTGTTATAGCATATACTAAGAATAGTAATTTTCTAATGAGCTTCATAGTCTAAAGTCCTGTGTAAATTGGAATAAATAAGCTATTTTAGGTAGAAAATATATTTTGAGTAAGGAAATTATTGCTTGATTTCACATTTCATTTCTTAGTTCTTAGTTGTATGTACAGGAAATTTTTAAATGAGTTTTGTGGTTCTGTGGTTTTTCTATTACCAATGTATAGATACTCTGCTTCAGAGTCATTGTTCATTGATTTGGTTCCTTTTCAAAAATAACTTGCTTTTTACTTTTTATTGTAGAACTTTTCAAATATACATTAGTATATCAAACATTCCTGAACCCTTCAGTTCTCAGCATTCTCCTGTTCTTATTTCATCTGCCAATTTGTTTTTACTCTATTTACTTTTACAGGAATATCATATGGCAATTTTGAGATACATTATTTCATATAAATAGTCTGTAATGAGAAAGATTTAAAAGCTAACAAGGGTTAATCAGTTATCCAGATCAGTTGTTGTTGGGTTGTTTTTGTTTTTGTTTTTTGAGACAGGGTCTCACTGAGTTTCATTCTGGCCTTGAACTCACTATGTAGCCCAGGATGGCCTCAAACTCAGTGATCCTCCTGCCTCAGCCTCCCGAGTGCTGGGATTACTGGATTGAACTACCACACCCAGATCTGAATATTAAATGTTTTCCAAAAAATGAGGCTTTTTTCTGAACTTCCTCCAGTTTATCTTATGTTGTCTAGTATTATTTTATACTTTCTTTGCATTGTACTACTTCTTGATAAATTGAGTACAAAGAATTTTTCCCCATTTTTGGATTTTCCATAGCACTTGAATAAAATAGATTTCTAGTAGCCAGGCATGGTAGGTACAACATGCCTGTAATCCCAGCACTTGGGAGGCTGAAGGAGTATCACCTTGAATTCAAGGCTAGCCAGAAGTACATAGTGAGACCCTGTTTCAAAAACAAAACATCTAGGGGAATGGCTAATAGATAAAAGTATAGGCAAAATAAGATTATCCATGATTTTCTAATTATTGAAGCTGGGTGATAGAGAAGTAGTTGTATTAATCTTGTTTTGATTTTATTGGCACTATCATGCTATGATCTTGAGGGAAAAAATCACTGTATATTTTATGGTTTCATCGGTAGTATGAGTATTATACTCACTGTGTAGATACTCATCTGATTTATAATTTTAAAATTTTGGTAACAGATGATCCATCTCATTCCCACTCGTATCTTTATTTCACTGCCAACATCCCACCCTTTCTAGCATTAATATATAGTCCACATCCGCAGTGTCTGCACATTCTGTCTTGTTCTTTACTTGGCTAATAACAACCCTCTAGATGAGCATTGTTCTCCAGGAAGTCGATACAGTCCTTTTTCATCTCCAGGGCTCCGATAATCAGGACAGCAGCAATCCTGGTCCCAACCAGCATCAAAGTCAGAATAACATCTCAAGACCAGGAGTGCAGTGGGAAGTTAGAAATAGTAACCAGAGAGAAGTTGGCAGTGAGGTCAACAAGAAGAAATTCTAGGAGCTCCAAAGAAAAAAATGTCTGTTTTGGTTATAGAGCTGTATTACATTTGTGAGATGCTTTATTTTTCATTTTTGTGTGTATTTTATTTCACCTCTTTTTTAAGCAATTACACCATCAGAGATAAAGTTAACATTGTTTTAATCTAAAACTTTTTCAATGACAAATCATAAAACATAACTAAGGACATAAATGCAAGGTTTTGGGAAGTAGAATTCTCAATTTTTTTCCCAGATGAATTTCTAGTTCATATATTTGAAATTTGAACATGTTGTTTTAATGTGTATAGGTCTCTGAAATCTTTATCTCTAATGGTTGTCTACTGATAAAAATGTAGGTACTAGTTTAGTACAGTCATGTTACCCATTTTGCTTCTAAATTGCAATTTCCAAGAACAAAGAAAAGTATGATTGGGAATCTTTGAAACAGTGGATATTTAATTTGATTAAATTTCATTTATACCTTTTTTATTGAGGTACACAAAATTTGTTTCTAATGGCAAATACATTATTTGCTGATAAGAGAGAATTACATGGTTTTGTTAGGATGTTTTCAATTTCCTATTGTGTGAGGTGCTTCAATCCAGTTTTTTAATCAGTAAAAATTGATTAACCTCATATGTAATTTATTCTCAATATGCAATTGATTTTTAAAATTATTAACTCAAGCCTTCATTGAGGCAAAGAACAGCTAGGAAGAGTGTCAATTTGTGACAAAGCTCAGAAGCTGTTTAATTAGGTACTCTTTCTTACACTTTTAAATACATTATTTCCTTTATGTTTCTCTACACCTGAAGTTTCCTGTAGTCTCTGGTGACAGTCTGTGAGAATTGCATGGTATAGTAGTAGATGCTTTTAGACGATTATAAAGGCCAGGCAAAAACATAAGAATTGTGTCTGGGTTCTTGAATTTTTGAACAATTTTGTTTGAAAGAAATTTGTCTCAAGATAATGACAGCAAAAACTGCAAACTACTAAGATTAGGAAAATCTCATTTCTATGCTAACTGAAGATTTATCATAAAATATTGATTAAATTTCCATTTATTTTCACAAGTATAATGAAAGTAATTGTTTATCATATAAAATCTTTAATTTTTCTACATGTATAGTTTTAATAGTGTAATTCAGAAAGCTAAACAGAATTCAGTGCAGAGGATATTAAATTGTCAATTTTAGTAAAATCCTATAATTAAAGAATTTATTTCCACCTATTATGTTGCAAAATACTTCATCATCTGCTAGTATTATTTGGGAGAAATACATAATGGTAATAGTTTTCTCCTTTGGATAAAGAATTATTATATATTTTAATCTGCATCCTGTTATTCTTTAGAGAAATTTATAGATCAGATTTATTCTCAAATGAACAAAATTTTTATTAGAAACAAAACATAAAAGGTAAAATTTTGAGCCACCTTTTTATATTAATTCTAAAGAGTATGCAGGAAGTACAGTCAGCTTGAACAGCTGGTATTTGTATTTATATTTAAAAGTTTCCAGCCAACACTGATATCAGAGAATAATGAAATAGCCTTAATTTTACATGCCTGAGACTCTCTTGAAGGTTTTTATTTACTAATCTAGTAAAAGAGAAAACACATATTTTCTATCTGAGGAAAGCATCATTTTCCTTAGTTCTATTTTAGTTAAAATGTTTTATGACCTAAGAAAATGAAAATCCTTGTGAAATAGCAATGTGCTAGCTATAATTTTTGTAATAATCAGATTTAGTAATGTTGCTTTTGTTATGTGAAGTCTCCAAGATACAAAACTATTATTTCCAGAACATCTTGTACAGTTCACAAAGGAAATATCAGTTCAAAACAGGCAGAGTACTGTCCCAGTAGAAATACATTTTGAATTGACATAATAGTCATTTAGTAAATTTTCTGTATTCCATGTATTATTTTAGAAAGATGATAAAACTTGAATCTAATTTCATGTTTTTCACAAACGAAGTTACTGCATTTTTAAAGAAAACTTAGAGTCCATAAAAAACATTTGTTTTAAAACTGGGATTCTTACTTGATCAAAAGATTTAATTAAAAAACAAACATTTAACAAAGCAAAAAGCCCAAACATATTTCTACTAAAACCTGAATATTGAAAGGAGCTTTTCATTGAGAATTGTATTTGTCTATGGTAATTTGAATGTCAAGGGTATTTACATCTATAACATCTTTACCATTCACAGAATATGTAATCTTAGAGTGTGTTTAATTGAAAGATAAGCATATTTATCAAATAGATTGTTTTGTTACTCTAATATTTAACAAAATACTAATCTCTTCCACAGAATCTTCCTGTTACTCGTATTTTAGACAATCTCATGGAAATGAAGTCAAACCCTGTGAGTAGCATTTTACATTGAACTTGTAAATTATTGAGTCAAACTGACTAATATGAAAGATGATAAAGTAAACTTTAGTGTGTGATCTTAATCATAGTGGAGTATGTAAGAGAAAGGAAAGAATCCATGTTTTCAGAAATCCTTTTTTAACCATTATCACAGATAACTGGGAATTGATTTTCTCAGCTGCCAAAACCATTCTGTCCAGTTCTCACATTAAATGTAGATTACATCCTATATTTGTAATTAAATATAAAATATCCCATGGTATAAGTTTCTGTAAGTGAAAAATAACTAGTCCCCTTATTTGGTGTAGTGTAAAGATGACTAGTCTTATTTTAAGAAAATTAAACTTGGAGAGGAAAGCATAAAAATAATTTTTAAGTAAATATATTCAGATTACTAAATTCTCTTTGCTGACGATAATAAGAGAAATTGTCATCTGAATAAACAAATAAATAAATATTAACATTTACTTAAAGAATGGATTTCCAAGCTATCTGTTGACAACTGAAGAAAGGAACATAAAAAATCTTCCCAATCTGTTTCACAAAAAGTACTACCATGATACTATGGCAACCAGTAGGTGATTATCATCATAAGAGTGTAGAATCAAGCATCATGATCCCATCCCCATCAAAACCCTAGTTTTGGTTGATCTGAATCACCACAGACTTTGCAGTGCAGGCTTACAGTCCTAGACTTAAAAGAGAACAGAATCTTCAGCTTAATATGACTGTTTTGGTAATTGATAAAATTAATTATAACAGGAAATTAACAAAAACAAATTTTAAAATTCATTCCTGAGAAAACAAAGATACATATAATAAAACATCCCAAAAAGGCCAATTTCTATTATGAAAGTAATGGGAGAACTATGTGTATTGATAAGCTAACAAGGCCCAGATGCTTCTATGTGAGGATCAGTATAAATATGGTGATATTTAATAAAGTAATAGACTTTGTCACTGCAACCTGGAACATATGAGGAAGGGATTCTTCTTGAAAAGCCTCAGAAAGTATAAATTTATGACTGTCTTAGAGAATACAGCTTCATAAAAAGCAGTAAACTTCTGGATATTATCCCATACAATAATGGAATCACCGAATTCTAGAGTTTAAAGAAACTTAAGCCATTTTAACAGCGGAGAAGAGGCAACCAAGAGACATTGACTTCCCAAGTCACACTACTTATTAGCAGCAGAATTGGAACCAGAGACCTACTGCTTCTGTACTCCTGCCTGGTGCTCATTCCTCCAAACACATTTCTTCCACATTTCTCTGTCACAAATACATGGATGCCTAAATCATCTCACTCAAATGTTTCTCCACATTGTAAAAGTTCATTTATCAGTTCTCTTGACTTCATAACTGAAGATACATTACTACATACCTTTTAATTAATTAGAAAAATTAAACGTTTTCTGTTTAGAAAGCATTCCTCATTCATCTGCTCACTGAGGTAGCTCCCTGAACTCTTATGCCTTCCCTCTGCCCAGACAGGTTGATTTGAGGCACTGAGTGAGACTAGCCAAATGCTGAGGAGATTAGCAAAGTATACTGGGTTAGACCTGACAGGTAACTAAATGTATCGCATCCCAAATGCTTCAAAATGTTACAGTTTAATTTTTTGTTAAAATTTAATTTTAGATGCATTGGTATCACTTACCATATGTTAATTTCAATTCAATTAGGACAAATTAAAGCAGAACATAATAAATGTATCAAATAGGTTTCATCTTGCCTTGAAGTCTTCCTTGTGGTGTTTCCCTTGAGCCAAAGTGATGAAGGATTCTGACACTACATTTGGGTTTACTGAGACTGCTGTGACTGATTAAAGTAGCCACCATTGGGTGCAGGTCTAAATAGTAGAAACACATGTAGTATATTTGTTATTTATCAGGTTTTGGTGAGACCATTCATATGCCAGGGGGGAAAGATGAGTTTCTTTGGCTGATTCTTCTATGGAAGGAGAAGAGGGCAGAGTTTGGGAAGTAATTATATCAAATAGTAGAGCAGTACACTTTCCAGCTCCTTTACTATTAAGACATTTCCAATTTAATAGGCTGACTCTAATAAAAGTTTCAGATAAGAAAGACTGTGAACCTGTATTAAGTATTCTGTATAATCAATAAAATCATGGACTTATAAAGGTAAAATTATAAAACAAAAGTACTTAAAGTACATTAACTTTTTTCAAGAATATAAAATATGTTTTTGAGAACCATGGTGATTAAGAGCTTGGGCAGTGAAGTTGGACTCCCTGGGTTCAAATACTGGACTTCCCATACTTAACTAAATATATGACCTTAGAAAAATTACATAGCCTCCTCGTACCCCAACTTGCCCATCTGAGAAATGGGATAATAGTAACCACCTGACTGACAGACTGGAGATTGAGGAATTTCATGTAAAGCAGTTAAGGTTTAGCACTTAATAACTGCACATTAAACTTTAGGGATGGTGGTTATACATTCTGCAAAATTGTTGGATTCCTTAACATAATACAATATGTCAGACAGTGACCTTCCAAAGAGAAATTCCATAGTCATTGTAAAGTCTGTTTCATTTTTTAAATAGGAAACTGATGACTATCGATATTTTGATCCCAAAATGCTGCGGGGCAGTGACAGGTAAGCAACTTTTGTCTTACATGATTTGTTATGGGATTTCCACCTAAGAATGAAATAATTGATTTTTATTACAAAGCAATACTGACTATTACTAAAATTTCAAACTACATAGAAAACTGGCTAAGGAAACAGTATGTATTCTAATCTCATCACTCAGAGATAATCACTGATAATTACACATAGTTTTTAATAGCACCATTTTATAAAGAAACAGTAATCAGCTAAATGTATTTCTGTACGTATACTTGGAAGGAAAACAAAATAGTGTGGGGGACAGAAATTTGGATAAGATGTGTTTTAAAATGAATATTCTTATTGGACCAAATGAAAGAAGCTTTATACTGTGTAACAGTGATTTACTTATTTTTAAATGTAATTAGTATGTGAAATCCAAGTCCCTGGGAACCATTAATATAAACACACTTTATGGCAATGAAACAGTCTATAAACTTCTGAATTTTAAGACAGACAAGGCATGGTGATATGAAAAAGCAGCCTCCAGGTTACAGAAGAAAGAATAGGTGGAATGGGCGGGGCAGATATCTCCTTGCCTATCCCTTAGTTTGGGATTTTTAGAACTTCATACTTGCTGTACCCCAAGCTTTCACATCATTGTGGGTAGTCAGGACACCTAACCTAGTTAATAGTTTATTAAACTGTTTTGTAACTTAGCTTGCCAGAAATGTTTTTGCATAAGAAGCTGCTAATAATATCCATAGTTGGTAATAGAATTTGACTGAATAAATTATGGAAAGGCAGAATGACTACCCAGTGACCCCCACTGGGTACAGGGGTGTTTTAGCAGTCATAAAAATTTTCTAAATTAGAGAATGATGATTGTACAACTCTATAAATACAGTAAAAACTATTCATTATACATGTCAAAACAGTGTTTTTGTATATCTGTTTTCCTATATTCATAATTCTCTAGCTTATATTATTTTCTCCCTTAACAAGTAGATATGCTTTGCTTTGTGGGAGCTAAGAAATTTTTAATCTTGAATTTAGCATCTGCATGATAGGAGAAATATTAGCATTGATGTGACAGATAAGCTCAGAGTTTCCTTTTAATAGAGACTTCTGAGCCATCCCATAGTTAAATTTTTGTTATTAATAACTAGCAATATTGTGCTACTTTAGTTTTACCTCTGCTCATCCTATGTGTACTCTCAGAGAAATTTAAAGTGTTCTAGAGGGAAGTTAACCACTTTGGAGGCACTTCGATCAGGTGGACTTCTAGCTACATCTATGGAGAATTTAGACCTCCTGTAGAAATGAGGAAAAATAGAAGAGCTATGTTTAGCCGCTGAACAATTAAGAAATTACACTAGCTCTTTCCTCTTAATGATTTTCAAAAATTACTTCTGTGGGCCGGGGATTTAGCTCAGTGGTTCCACCACCTGCCTTGCAAGCACAAGGACCCGAGTTCGAGCTCCGGTACCAAAAAATTTACCACATGAAATACCAGCTTCATCACTTCACATATGTCCACACTTCTACTCTTCCTCATGATAGCTGCTGTTCGAGCTTCTAAAACTATATTTCAGAATTTATAGATTGTCCCATTTCCTTTTAGACATTTCTTCTAGCTTCTTGCTCTGGGAAACTAAAGGACCCACCACCCTCCTCAGAGGGTAAAAGAATTACAAATACCTACCTACCTGTACTCACAAGTATTTGAGAGTGTGTATTTCCCATTTCTGTTCTACTTGTAATAAAAACCACAGGTGAAATTTTCAGTACAGTTTTTCTTCATTACAGCTCAGTTCCTAGAAACAAAAATCCATTCCAAGAGGTAAGGTTTGTATAAAAATTCTCTGCTCCTAGAAAAGAAAGATAAGGTAACGAAGCCATCTTGGATATATTTTTCATAAATATGACTTACGATTAGTATAGTGTAATCTTGATAAATTCAATTCTATACACCCAAGATTTTGTAAATTCTTAGCAAATATATTTTCCTGAATTTCTGTTTAAACTTACAGTATTTTAAGCTTTAAAATGATAAAATTAACTCACAGAAAAAGGATTACAATGAGAATTTTATGTGTTTGGACCTTCTAAAATTGTATTGCAAACATTGTAAAGATACCATGACTATAGTTTCATTTGAAATACAAAGAAGCTTCTCAGTAAAAGTAAATATTATATACTAAATAATATGTTGGAGATTATATAAATGCTAGGTTTTCTGATTTCCCATCTGTAATAAATATATGCAAATTTGAAAATGTCCTTTGAACAAAGCCATTTGGATTTGCTATTTATTTTCTATTACTTAATTGAATAATATAGTTAAGTTTCTTCTGAAGTGTCTGAAAAAATCTTTTTACTATTCAACAGACATTAAAATTTTAAACATATATACTTTTTAGAAATAAAGTTCTTAAGTAGCAGGTGCTTAGACTGCAGCTTGTGGCTAGGTAATATACTTAACTCAATTGGAGAATAGGTTCCAGTCTAAAATACATGGTGCTTTTCTATTCTTTCAACTTAACTATTTTTTTTTCTGTTTACAATTTTAGGCAATTGTTTTTGTGGTGGGAGGAGGCAACTACATTGAATATCAAAATCTTGTTGACTACATAAAGGTACATTTTAGCCTTATTATCCTATCCTTTGGTGATTTGACAGTTTTACATCTTTAGAGTACATTCTCTGGTGGCTATCTTGACCCTTATATAATTACTTTTCTATGTGGCAATTTAAAACTCGTGTATGTAGACCAGACATAGTCCACGTGCCTGTAGTCCCAGGTACTTGGGAGGCTCAGGTAGGATCACTTGAGCCCAGGAGTTTGTAGCCAGTCAGGGATAACAAAAATGTAACCAAAACATAAGAAGGAAATTGGATGTGGTGGCACATGCCTGTAATCCTCACTACACAGGCTGAATCAAGAGGATCACAAGTTCCAGAACAGCCTGCACAATTTAGCAAGACTCTGTCTCAAAATAAAAAAAAATTTAAAGGGAGGTGGAGGAGGTATAGCTCAGTGGTAGAGGACTTTCCTAGCATGTATGAGGCCTCTAGGTTCACATCCCCAGTACCAAAAAATAAATGAAGAATAAAGCATAGTTTGATGAACAAAAACATTTAAAATGTGGGAGCAGCAGAATTAGCTTGTTAGAGCAGCATTTTGTAATCTTCATTTATTCACTTAACATTAAATAATGCTCTTCACATCCTCACCTCACATAGTCACATAAGGCTTTAGTAGAGATTATGGTATAACCTTAAAAAAAACATACAGGCAAGCATCACAGAGTTCCAAAACTAATTAGTACAACTCCCAGTATCCTCTCAGTAGCCCAGGACATACTTCATCTTCCATGAACCATCGGTACATATGTAAGATACCATGGTATCTTGTGCAGGGAAGGGTTTAATACCCTTCTGGTGCCATAGTCAAAATGAGGCTACATGATCAGGCTCCAAAGCAGAAACCAAGAAAACATGATGGAAACCAGATGGCAGAACATCTCTGTAAACAATGACAAGCTAGTATAAGTTACCCCCCAGTAGTTTGATTCTAAACACAGAACTATGTTAATAGCTCTTTAGTACATTGTGCTTAGGTTTGGCCAAGGGTTCCCAGGGTTAAATACAGGGCTGCAACAGAAACACACATTTCGTACACTCCCACACTCAGTTAAGTGTTTTAATCATTTGCCAGTCTTCTTTCAGCATCTTTTACAATATTTATAGGATAGAAAAACAAGAATAAACACCAGAATACTAAGCATAAGTGTAAATATAACTTAAATACTGCAGTTTACCAGATATCACAGTGAAAACCTATTCTTAATCATGCACAAGTTTGACAACTATTAGAAAGTTGAATTTTGTGAAATAGATTAATTGATTCAGTGTTACAATTAGTTATTACTTAAACCTAGTTCTGTCTGGTCACTCACCTTCCATCAGAAGAACATTTTGTAGGAGTTTTATTCAGTTTCCTAATGTGTTTTCTTTCATATCTATGATAGCAGGATTGTACCAAACAGCAATTGCATTACAATTTAGATTATGATCATTATTAAATTAGATTTACAGATTTTTTTTTCACCTTTCCCAAAAAAATCAGCATTGCTGTTGTAGTGTTTTCATAAATGCCTTTTAGATCCATTAAATTTTGAGTAGCTACTAAGCCCCCTGCCTTGATTTTTCAAAGAGGATTTTTAATCTCTTTAATCGTATTTTTTCCTTCTAAATAATCTTAGTCTTTTCTCTGCCATCCAGTCTGATTCAGGAGAAACTGAACTAGTAAGGCTGTGCCGGCTTCCTCACATCGTTAGGAACCCATGCCAGTACAAACTTACAATGTGAAACAAATAATGTGGCCCTGGATTTATACTAGTCCCTGACACAATGGGCAAGTGCCACTTTTTGTTGGAATGACAAAATGCCACCATATTCCTGATTTATTAAGTAATTATATTAATATGATTTCTAATTTAACTGCTTATTTGTTATAACTCGAAGGTAGTTCGTAAAGTTGACTTTTACCAAAGCATTTTCTGTGCTGATATTGATAACCAAACATATTGAGAATTTGACTTAAAATCACTGCAGCATATTCTTTGTGTTAGATGACCATTCAAGGACATAGTTAATATAATTTCACATCAAATCAGTGTATCGGTACATTTCATAAAGTTCAGTCTTTATGGAGGGGAGGAAGTAAAGGGGCTGTCACACGTGCATGATTATGAACAAATTCATACTGGAATATTTGGTAAACTACAGTGCTTAAAATTATACCTTATTGGATGATGTAAATGATTCGAATTTTGATGTTCCTTGTTTTTCTGTTCTGCAAATATAAGAGATACAAGAAGAAGAATAATGATGGATAATTTGATTAACAAAGCTTGTCCAAGCTAGTGAGGGAGGACGAGTGACTGTACAATAGAGGATTAATCTCAGATGGTCTATTGCAACCCTTGGTCTGTTGGTTATTTCTAAAAATTAAGGAAATACGGTGCTGACATTTGGCCAAACCTGAACGAAATGTACTTACTAATAATGAATCTAGTTCTCTCCTAGGGTCCAAGATAGATTGGGGGCAACTTAACACTAGCTTTAATAGACATGTAAAGGTTGATACTTTGCCAGTTTTCTGTCATGTTCTCTTGGTTTTTGCTGTTGAAGATAGCATGTTACCTGCTTTTTGCCTCCGTGACCAGAGAGGTATAAAAGACTTCTCCCTGAACAAGACTAGGGGTCCCCTGAGACCACTGTATTGTATCCAGCTGAAAATGAAATGCATTCTGTGCTACTAAGATCCTGAGAGCTGACTTACAAGTTTGGACCTCTCTAAGGCTTCTGTGATTTCTTTCTCTATATATACCATAATCTCTACCTTGACTAATGGTTCATGTGAGTATATGCTGTGTAGCCTCAAGAATCCCAATTATAATGACCCTGTGTAGTTGTTGCAATACCATCTCATTATTTAAATGTGACTCATGTTTTATTTGTTCAAGACATTTTTTTTCCAATGATAATCAGTGATGTTTATTCATTTTATACATCACAGAAATGTCCTCTTGTGTTACAAAGCCATCATTCTTATGTTCTTCATGAATTATCAAATTACTTTATGGAATAATATATACTTACATTATAAACGAATTCTCAGCCAGGCATGGTAGCACACATCTGTAATCCCAGCACTCTGAAGACTGAGGCAGGAGGATCACCAACAAGTTTGAGGCCAGCCTGGGTTAGTGAGTTCAAGGCCAGTCTGAACTACAGCGTGAAACCTTGTCTCTTGAATTTTCCTTCAGGCTTACAATAAAGAATTTCAGCATAAAGAACTTAACAAATTCTAGTGAAGAAGTTTGACTTGTCATTGAGTTCCAGCATTCTGTCAGTCAGAAATAAGATTCATACAGTTACAATATGGAATAGGATATATTCACATATACCGTGTTACACAAGATTAAAAAGACAGTCCATTCTGCAGCATTATATTCTACTTTCAGCCTAATAACTGTCTTTAAGTAGCACAGAGCCTACAATGGAAAAATATTGGTCTAAGATTTTACAGATAATTAATTGTTGCCCACGTGAAATGTGATAATTCTCACATTCTTTTTATGTAAGAAACAGCCCCAATAGTGTGTCAAAATGTATTAATTTTTGAAAAGGCATTTTATGCCTGTTTCACCACTTTATTCTTTATTTCATGTAATTTTAAGATACACATGTACACCAAAATCCACCACCCAAAAAAAAGACTTTTAAGAGTAGCCCTCCCAAAACAAAAAAATGTCCTAGCAGGTTAGGAATATTGAAAACATTTCTTGTTACTTGCATCTGAGTTCTGTCTCTTGACTTTTGCAGGGGAAGCAAGGCAAACACATTTTGTATGGCTGCAGTGAGCTTTTCAATGCTACGCAATTCATGAGACAGGTAAAGTGCACCTTTTCAATCTGTTCTTTTGAGATAATCCAAGTCACTGTGGATAGTTTTCTAAAGAGAGGAGGAGCCTTTATTCATCCAAAACAGCTAAAATCAAAAGCCATACAGATGTTTAAGTTTTTCCATCTAACATTATTTTCCTTATCACAGTTCTTTAAAGTTGAAGTAATAAAGTCAATTAGGCAAGATTGAATTCAGCATTTCCTTGTATACTGTTCACATGTCTTCACTTTGCCACACATTATATATGTAACTTTATTGAGCAATAGTATGTTCTCAGTTGATACACTAACATTATATTTACCTTGAAAATTGATGACAGCAGTAGCTGAGGTGTGTTTATACAATTGTGTCTGTACTGTCCTTTTAGAGTCATTCTCACTAATGTTCTCCGTTAATTACATTGATCTTAACTTTCTTAACTAGGATGTTCAGTACCCTGACCAGTAATGTCTACTCACTACCATAAAAATCATAACTCCACCATCTACTTTTGGTATAGGGGATCAAACTCAGGTCCTTGCACTTGCGAGGCAGGTGGTGGAACCACTGAGCTAAATCCCCAGCCTCCATCATCTACTTTTAACAATCATCTGGCATTGATTTTCCAGCACTTCCTTACCCTAATGTGGTTGATACATTTTTTAATCAATTTAATTTGGTGAGAAAAGTTCATGGAAAATGTGCAGGTGTTCACTGCAAATTCTCTTTTAAGTGTTCTCCTGTACTTGCTTTATATCTATCACAATCTATTAATTGCTCCAACTTTATTTCAAAGTATATTATAACAATGCCAGTGTCATTAGCTAAAGTTCATTTTTTGTGTTTAATCCTTCTCAGGGGTAAAATTTTCAATGAAATATATAAATTCTTAAGTGTACTTTAAGTCTTGTCAGATGTAATTTCTTGAGTACCCCAAACCCCTATCAAGAGTGTTCCATTACCCCAGAAAGCTCTTACAACCTTTTCCCAGTCAGTCCCTACCCAAATCCTATCTTGATATTTTTCCACTATTGGTTAGTTTTATCTGTTTTAAACCATCATAGAAATGGCACTTTTTTCCTTTGTTAGGCTAACCAATGAATCTCAATTTTCTTCCTCTTTTTAATGAATCAGATGTTGTCTTGTTATTTTTCTCAATTTTTTTTTCTATTTCATTGATTTCTACCTTTTATTATGTCTTTCATTCTAATTTTTCCTAGCTTCCTAATTTGGAAGCTCACTTATTAATTGTAATTCTTTCCTAAAATAACCATTTAAAACAGTAAATGTCCTTCCAGATATTTCATTGGCATTCAACAAATTTGTGTATGTTAAATTATCATTCAGTTTGAAATATTTTGTAATTTTCTTTGTGATCTGTTCTTTAGACCAAGTATAATTTTTAGGTCTATTATTGTTAAACATTCCCACATGTTTTCTAGATGCCTAATTCTTAGCTTTCTTGTAGTCATACAGTATACTTTACATAATTTCACTGTTTTAAAATCTATTGAAATTTCTTTTATGGCCCAGCATATGGTCTCTCTAGCTTAACAGTCCGTGTGCACTTAAAAAATTATCTTCTGCAGAAGTCGGGTGTAGAGTTCCATAAATAATCATTTTGGTCAGGCTGATAGGATGGCCCAAATTCTCTGTCTTTATTGGCTTTGGGGGGAAGTTTTGTTTGTTTTTCAGTGGGAGATCTACTCTATAATCTGCTGAAGAGTGACATTAAAATTGCCAACTAGGATTATGGAATTCTTTTTCCCTTTAGTTCTATTAATTTTTCTGCTCTTTGTATTTGGAGCTATTATTAGGAATGAACACATACATGATTCATCATCTCCCAAAGGGACATTTATCATTATTCAGTACAGTATTCCTCTAGAAATCTGGTAATCTCCTTTGTCTTGAAGCCTACTTTACCTGATATTACTGTGGCCTCTCTAGCCTCTTATACTTACTGTTTGCATGTTATAACTTTCTCCATCTATTTACTTCAATTTTTAAAGAGTTTATCATATAGGCAATACATGTTTGGATTTTCTTAATCATTCTTATAGTAACTGCCTTTATCTGGAGTCTTTGATCTATTGCCCTCTAATGTAATTACTGATTTGAGTTATGTCTGTCATTTTACTTTATTTAGTCTCTTGTTTGAGGTTCATCTGTTCTTTCTTTGGATTTTTGAGAACTTTAGAATTAATTCATCCACAGATTGTTTAGCTATATCTCTGCATTATTAATTCAGCAGTTGCAGTAAGTGTGGAAATCCTGCAACTTTATGGACTGAACTCTTGGTGTTTGTGTTGTGATTATCACACATTTCACATATACCCTCATTTTTGCTTCAAACAACCATCTGTATCATAAAGACACAAATCCTTTGCTTTTACACAAACGTTTGATTTTCCATGCCCTTCATGTCTATTTCCAGTAAGTTTTAGTTTCTGTTGACAGAAAAACATCTTTTAGCATTTATCATAGCTCAGATTTGCTAGTGAGTTTTCCTAATTTCCTTTTATATAAAAATGTCTATTTCACCTTTATTCTTAAATGGTTTTTTTTTCCTCTAAAGACTTCTAGACTGACAGTTTTTCAATACTTTAAACATACTTTACTGTCTTCTGGCTTCCTTTTTTTGTGATAGTAGTCATTCAAATTCACTATAACTAATATACCATTTCTTTGTCTTATATCCAGGTTTTCGTTCAAGATTATAATGTGTCTTTGTATGCTTTTTTGTGAATTTATATTGCTTGGGGAACACTTGAGGTTTCTATATCTTTATCAAATTTGGGGGATTTTCAGTCGTTACTTCTTTAAATATTTTTATATTCAATTTTCTCTCTCCATTTTGGACTTCATTTACATACATGCACCACATAATTATGTTTTGGTTTACCACAGATCATATACAGTGATGGTTCCATACAATTATAATAGAGCTGAAAAATTCCTATCACTTGATGTTGAAACCATTATAATGCAGTGTGTTGTGTATCTCAGGTGCTACTGGTATAAACAAATCTGTTGCTCTCCCTGCCATTCATGTAAAAACTACAGCACATATGGTTATGTATAATACACAATACTCAATAAATTCGTTAAAATTATGATGTACAATGTTTATAAAATCTACAATAATGTCCTCAAACTTCATACACATTCACTATCTTACCCAAAGCAACTTCTAGTCTTGCAAGCTAACTCTATACAGGAATACTATTTTTATACTACCTTTAGTATACTTTTTCTATTTTCAGTATAAAAATACTTAACTATTGTTACAGTTGCCTACAATATTCAATATATAATGTGCTGCATAAGTTTGTAACCTAGGAGCAATGGCTATACCATATGACCTAGATATGCCATAGGTGATACTGTTGAGGCTTATCTAAGTTCACACTGGTGTTGCATAATGATGAAATCACCCAACCTTAAATTTCTCAAAATGTATCTCTATCATTAAGTAACATATAACTGTATATTTGATTTCTATATTGTTCCACAAATTCCTGAGGATACTGTTATTTTCTCTGCTGATATTTATCTTTTCGTTCCTTGGGAATGTATTTTCCATTACTTCATTGAAAATACTTATAAGCTTGTTTTAAACCTTGTTAATTATAAACATGGGTGCTCTCCCTCCCAGTCACCATTGGTTATCTCTATAGAACAGGCCACATTTTCCTTTTTCTTCATATATTAACAAATTTTACATTGCATCCTCAGCGTTATAGATGTTATGTTTTGGAGACTGAATTCCTTTTCTCTAGAGTGTTGTTTAGGACTTGTTAGGCAATTGCCTTGATTAGACTCCAACTTCAAAATGTTTTTTGAGCAACAGCTCAAATATCACTTTCCAGTCTCACCCATTCTTGAGTGGTTCAGGGTTTTATGATAAATTTAGAAAAAAATCTGTACACAAAATTTAAGTCTCCTTCACTCTGTCCTTCCTTTCCAAGACCCCTCCACCCTTCCAGTTGTTGCCTTAAGCACTCTCCTCTGATTCTTCAGACAAGACGGCAAATTTTCTGTCACAGTTCCAGATGCCCAGTATAACACCACCTGCCCTGTTTTCAGACCAAGAGCACAGAGCCAGGCAGTCACCCAGTGCTCTGCCCTCCTTCCAAGTGTGACTCTTCTGTAGAAGCTGCTTGCTGTCAGCTGCTCTTCATTGCCGTGGATTGTTGACTTTTGCATTTTATTTAAAGTTTATATTGCTTTCTCTGGAAAAGTTGCTCCAGTAGGAGTTTACCCAGCCTTCCAGAAATAAAAGCCTTTTCTTCATTTAATGATGTTTTAGAAATATAAATGTTTGAAGAAAACAGCTGGGGAATTTAGCTCAGTGGTTCTGCTGCTTGCCTCGCAAGCACAAGGCCTCAAGTTCGATCCCGGGTAACAAAAACAAAAAACTATCCACAGTGAAGTTACTTAAGACAATTCTCTCTACATTTTCCTACTGAGTTAGTACTAATTTCTTCCCAGGGTTTGGGGTTTTTAATTATTTAATTAAATTAAAATTATCCTAGGAAAGTAATAAATGAAAAAGGAAGCCTAAATTTTACCGTGAAAAAAAGTGAATTTCTTAGGTTATCTACAAATATGCTTAAATATATAAGCTTTTAGAAATTCATATGTATAATTTTGTTTTGTTCTAGCTATCACAACTTGGACAGAAATAACACAGAAGAACCTAAATATGAGAATCTACTTGGAACTTGGATAAATGTAAAAAGTCAAAAGAGCTAGATATTTCCCTCTCCATAACAATGTTCTAATAGTGAAACTCAGATTTATTAATTTTTAAGGAAATTCTGTACTTAATATAATGTATACTGATCAAAAGAATAAACCATTTCAGAAATATAACTGTAACATTGTTCTTGCTCCTGTTATATTTGACAAATGAAAAAGTACTTTAAAGCTATAACTCAGTGGTGGCGAACCTGTGGCATGTGTGCCATAGTGGACTGACTGTTATCATTGAAAGCTCTGAAAGGTTCACCATCACTGCTCTATCTGATCATAATATTACAATATTAATATAGCTAATAGGTTATGGTTGAAACTGGTGAACGTTTAAGGTTATCTTACACAAATATTAATAATCTCATGAATTCCCTACATACATACATTTTAATCATAAAACTACTTTCCCATAGTTTATTAGTTTCCTAAATTGCTTCTAGATTTTAAGTGGAGATTTTAAAACTACTTTAATAAATCTTTTCCCTTTCTAGCACATCCATGTATGTTCCTGAATAAAATTTCTCTTTTATCTAATGTTGACAGAACGAAACTAACAAAATTTAGAATGGAAAAATACAAAACAGTCATCACATAAAGTTCTAAATAGTAAAATTAAGTGTTAAATTTGATTCTAAGCTTCTTCATATGTAGCACTAACAAGGAAATTTTTTTTTTTCAGTACCAGGGATCGAACTCAGGACCTTGAGCTTGCAAGGCAAGCGTGGTGCCACTGAGCTAAATCCCCAGCCCATAACAAGGAATTTTGATCAATCATGCATTCATTAATTCATTTTAATACAGGCACAAATAAGTAATTGAGTTATTAAAGTTTTTTAGCACCAATAATTATAACCTGGATTAACTTACATGAAATGTAATGAAACATATACATTGGGTTACAAAGGAAAGATTCTATGGAGATGTGTTCAGAACACGCACAGAATTTGAAAGCATAATAAGTAAACTTTACCTAACTAACTACTGTAAGCCTGCAATCAACAGTTAGTGAGCATACAATTATTTGAAGTAAATATATGGAACATTTTAGAAATATGATCTTCCCTTCAGGAAAATCAAATGATTGAAATAATTTTGAGCATCTTCACATCATCATTGAAGTCAGAAATCAGCAACAGATTTCCAGTCCAAAAGCCTGTGTTGGAAAAGAGAGACATAGTTCTACATAACCTATTAGGTTACAAATTAGAAAATATTTTTAAATGAATAGCCAGTCACAAAAATACTACATATTAAAATGTGTTGATACAACTAATGGAGAGTTTAAGACACATTAAAGTTCAAAAGAAAAATTTTAAGGTTGAAAAGTAAGTATATACTGTGGTTTGGATGTGGATTATCCCCAGAGGATTCATGTGCTAGAAGCCAGACCCTCCCTCTCGTGATTCTGAGACCTCTGGATCCTCTGGTGATACTGAGAGGTGATGGGACCTTTAAGAATGGAACTGGTCAGTGGCGCCCTTAGGGGAACTGCCCTAAGAAGGAACTAAGTTACTTCTTATGAGAGCCCTGCTTAGTTCTCACAAGAGGATTGTTTAAAAAGGGACAGCCTGACCCCTGAATTGCTCCTCTGGCTTCCCCTCACCACGTGACAACTCCTTCTCACACACGCCTGCCTTTGATGCCATCTCTAATGAGGCCTTCAGAGCAAAGCCAGTGCCAGTACCAACACCATGCCCTTGAATGTCTAAACCTATGAGTCCTAAATGAGCCTTTTTGCTTTTTAAGAACCTATCCTCAGGTATTACATGATAGTAGCAGAAACAGACTAATACAATATCCACTATGAGATGTAAGAAAACTAATAAAATCAATGTGCAAAAAGTGGAAAAGTGAAATAAAAAGGAGAAATTGATGAAACAGAATCAGTGGTAATCTTATGGACTGAATTGTTCCCCCAAAATTTATATGTGAAAGCTGTACCCCCTCCCATGTAACTGTATTTACAGATAGGGCCTCCAAGAAGGTAATTAACATTAAATGAGGGCAAAGAAGTGGGGCATTAATCATATGGGACTGGTAGTAAGAGGAAGAAACTTCAGAGAGCTCTGCCTTTCTCCACATGTACACAGAGGAAAGGCCATGTAAGGACACAGCCAGAAGGTGGACATCTACAAGCCAGGAAGAGAAGCTTCATCAGGAGCCACAGTGTTGGCACCTTGATCCTGGACTTCCATCCTCCAGAAAGGAGAGAAAATAAGTGTTCTTTAAGCAACCAGTCTGTAGTAGCTTGTTATGGGAACCTGAGTTGAAGAATACAGAAAAGAATAAACTTCTAGTAGAACTAATGAAGAAAAAGAAAGTAATAAGACACAAAACCCCAATATTAAATGATAAAAGGGACATTCCTAATAGTATTGCAGGCATCAAATAACTACCACGGAATCACTGCTTTTAGCCAAGTTGGAACAAGGTTTACCTTCCCACTAAAAGTAATTTTAAAATTGGATAAAATATTTGAAACAACAGACCTTAAGATGCTAGACTGCAAGAAAGATTATGGTCCTTAAATGAACAGATTTCTAGGATTGCCTGGACCGAAGTACAACAACAGAGAGCCCAAGTAGAAACTGCTGTCTCCCTTAGTTGGGGAGACCATTCTGGGTGTCAAGGAAGATGACCAGCTTTCCAGGGACACTGCCATGCAGGAAAGAGCTACACAGAACTCTGGAGCTCAGCACAGGGTCCTCTTTTATTCAGTGGAGTACTTTTAAGTGTATGCAAGGGAAGAAATTACCTGAGGCTAGAGAAAGAACCATCCACAACAATTAGGGAACAATCCTCAGAGCCACCATAATCCAGGAACCAAAGAGTAGAGAAAAACTAAAACTTCACATAGAAATACAGACACACATACACACATACATTTTGCCTTAAAAATGAAATGAGAAAAGCAATGGTGTGGTCCTACCTAACAAAGCTCAAGGGCAATGCCCCCAAAGATCAAACTTTTTAAAGTAACAAACATATCCCAAATCAAAGCTCAAGAATGTAGGTATATTCTTATTAAAATATCCAGCACCCAACAAAGTGAAATTTGAATTTGAAATTAAAATCAGAAATGCAAAGCAATAGAAAATTTGAACCTATAAAGAGGATAAAAAGTCTATTTAAACATGACCAAATATGTCATAGATGCTATAATTAGTAGATGAGGACATTACTTACAACAGTTCCATATGTTCAAGAAACAAAAACTAAACTTTAGTAGAAGCATGAAGGATTAAAGATGCATTTCGAACTTCTAAAGACAAAACCTACAATGTCTGTATTCACTATTAGTGCTGCAATAAAGTACCACAAATTTGGTGGCTTGAAGCACCATAAACTTACTATCTTTTTCTGGAAGTCAGAAATCCAAATGAGTCTCAGTGCAGTTAAACCGGAAAATGGGCAGGGCTGCCTGCCTTTCCATCTTCTAGGGGTGCAGTCATCCTTGGCTTACAGCCCCTTGACCAGTCGAGTCTTTGTCACATCATATCACTCTGCCACCGTTTCTCCCTCCTTCCATGTGTTAAGAACCTTTGTGATTATTCTGGGCCTACAGACTAATCTAGGATAATCTCTTTATAGCACTCCACCCAAAATCAATAGCACTCTTTTCAAGTGCATTCAGGACATTGACTAAAATATACCGTATTCTGAAACTTTAAAAAGGTCTCAGTGAATTTTAAATTACCTCACATTTTAAAATAAGAAATCAGTGGCAGAAATCTGGAACATAGTTGTCACAAGATGGCTCCCCAGAAAGCAGATCCAGACAGAGATGGCCATGCTGACTGGGGAGTGTTTGGGGGGTCAGCACCCTGGGGAGAAGGAAGACTCTGTCACCACCAAGGTCCAGCTGACCCTCAAACACTAAAACAAAGACAGCGTTTCTGAATTGTGAAGATGTGGATCCTTCATACCCTTTGCCTAGAAGTAACTGGAACAGGTTGCCCCTCAAAAACCAGGTATCCCTTTGGGCTATTTCTGGCTGAGGACAATTCCCTAAGAAGGGGAATTTGACAAGCCATAGAACAAAAAGTGTATGATCCACTGTGTACCTTGGTTGAGTGCAACAAGGAAAGGAAGGGAAGTAAAGAATTACCTCAGTGAAGAGAAGGGGTGGGATCATGCTCACCCCACCTTCCCTACAAAGCAAAGGCCATGTCATCTCAAAGTGACCAAAGCTGTTCATACCCAGAGCTTCAGGAAAGAATGTTACATAGAGACCATGAGGCTAATTTAAGTGTTAAGCTACTAAAGAGTTAAAGCAATATCCCCGTTTCCTCAGTAATGGAAATGTTAATACCTCAACTACAATGCTACCCCCAATTCACAAACTTAGTTCTTTCCATGATGCTGGTCCCAAACTGAATTGGATGAGAACTAAATCAAATTTCCCCATAAAGTCAACATTGAACCTAACCATTGAATTTGATTCAGTTCTTGTCCAATTCAGTTTGGGATCAGAATTGTGGAAAGAATTAAGCTCATGAATTGAGTACCACTGTATTTAACATCAGTTCAGAAAATCTTTATTGGGTGAAAACTATGCAAAAGGCAAAAGGTCTCTTCATTTGGAAAGAAAGAGACATATCAATAAATACAATCTTTTTCAAGGTTACCTTAAGTTCACATAAACAGTTTGGTAGATATTTTTAAAAGGCATTCCTGGGACCTACAAGGTTTTTGATTCTTTTTTAAAAATGTGTCAATGGGGAAACTTTGGCGCCTCAGACTGTCCACAGCTTAGTCCTGTCTGTCCTAGAGTGGGTTACCCAGTATGGCCACCCCCAGTATCGCTGCTCTTCAGGCTGGTGGGTCAAGGAACCTGTACTAGTAAGCCCACAGTTTGGCTAATTCAGAAATCTGCCTCCTAAGGGTGATTCTCCTCAGAACTGATTCGTGCTCTGGGAAAGTTCAGTTCGGATGGAGGTCAATAGGAAAGGAAACTGCTCTGCCAGGTAAATTTTAGAAAAGTTTTATCAAGAAAGGCCCAAAGGGCCGGGGATTTAGCTCAGTGGCTCTGCCACCTGCCTCGCAAGTGCAAGGACCTGAGTTCAGTCCCCAGTACCAAGAAAAATAAAAAAGAAAGAAAGTCTCAAAATGGTGGAGCAGTGAGT